GGAGTGGCAGGTAGAGGCCTGAAAGCAATAGACTGAACGTCACGTTCGACCACCCAAGGGCTCTGGAGAGATTGCGTAGCCGCAAAGTTTGGCGATGGAGGCCTATTTTACTGAGTGATGGCACGCTAACGTGAGATGGATTTACTGACCTTGCAGACATTTTGATGCTTCGGCAATAAGGGCTTTCAAGAAAACTGTGCCCAGACGGTCTCTCCGTTGATCGCTGTTGAAAGTTAGAAGTCAAAAAAACTGAGAGCAGGCTGCGGGACTGATTGAATTTAAAGGCACAAGACATGGCAACAGAGTTGACTCACTGTAGTTACCTTGCGAGCCACGATAGGACAAGCCTATCAGGGCACAAAACAGTGGGAAAGCGCAGAATGGCTGCAAGGCAACCATTAGAGTCAGGCCTACACCGCAACTACATACATCTCTTACACGGAAGAGGAGAAAACGGCAGCGACTCCGGCGTGCCCACCACCTTGAATTGGTCGTGGCCCGCTGGAACGGCGACAGACACCTGGCGCAATGAGAGCTCAGGTTGGAAACAGTGGCGGAGTCAGCTTCGTTCATCGGTGTAAGAAGGTCGATTCAGAATATTCCAGAAATGGGTATTATAGCTATCACAGAGTAAAATGATTGTTTAAGTATAGGTCTCGTGGCATAGCTCACGGCCCCGAACGATGGCGTGATGTAATAGTCTTTCAACTATCTCCCATAGCCTTATCTGTCCCTCGCCAATTTTTGTTTGTAACTTGTAGTATGCAAAAGACTTGTGGCTATTCTTTTGCTTTTTGGTCATTCCCCTTCGTGTTTTCGTGGATGAGCTGCCGGCCTCACGCAGTGTACGTGAGGCACACTTACATGGGCTGGCCAATGGCGTGTGGGATACCCCAGGACTCAAAACTTATACTGTCCGGCTGAATATATTGTTGACAGAGTGTCTGCTGCTGCTGTGATTGCCAACTGCCCCTGGGTCGCCGGCGCGTCGGCAGATGACCTAGTCCTGGGATCTGGTTCGTCGGAGAGGAACAAGTGTTTCGCATAATCGGCTCACCGTTATGCGGCGCATTGTCTGGAACAAGCACCAATGGCTGCGGTAAGTAGTCTCGGGGCAGGAGGCCGGCACGGTGCTACGTCGACTGCTACCGGGAGAAGAGGGTGGACCAGTGAGTGGGCTTGCACTTCAAGGTGGCTAACTGCTTGGTGTTGCCCTACACCACGGGCCCAGGCGTCCTTCCCTGCTTTCTGGCGACACGACTGGGCCACGAAACGGTCCGTGACGGGCAGGGCCCCCCAGAAAAAAACATTCCGGAGGCGCTGGCGCTGCGAGCTGGTATCTTGAAGTGATGCTGGATCCGTACGCACGCAGGAGCAGAGCCCCTCGGATGCTCCACCGCCCTGCGCATTGCCTAACTTGGCCAGCATGGGTGCGCCGCGCGCACAGAGTCCGCGCAGTTGACAGATGGTGTGGCTGGTGCTGAAAACGTTTCTGCATCGTCGGAGCAATCACTCATTATTTGCATATAGTGTAGAGTGTGCTGGCTCGCAAAATACAGGGCAGTGTGTTCTGTGTCGATTTCGTCGCACCAAATCCCTCTGTTCACTGGCGACGAAGAGGGAGCAGCATGAGCAGTTTTCTCGTGCAGTGATAGATTTTAGCGACAAACAAAGACATGGTAGTCAGACAAAAAACAGTTTTATTTGGCACGGAGAAAAATACATGGGAGAAGATAGCTCAGGAACTGGTAGGCTTTTGAAGATGAAGCGCCGTCAAAATAGATCAGATCTCGCCCAGGAACTTGAAAGTTGCCTTCGTTCTTCCTCAAAACCTCAAAAGTCGCCTCATGCCATGTTAAATGGTCAATGTAAACCTCCAATTCGACGAGAACAAGCTTGCAATGCCTTAGTATCTTAGTTTTTTTATTAGTAGGCTTTTGGGTGGCTTCGGAGTTTGCATGGCGGTGACTTACAGTTAGATCGGTCTCTGACCTCTGCACAATGCCGGCCTTCAAAACAGCAGCCAGTGTGTACGTTTCCAAGGAGTCTTCATAAGGAAAACGAGGAAGTAGAAGCCCAGCAAGATATGCAGCGACTACGAGACTCTGAGAGGCCTCTTCGGCTGGTAGGCGTATCACTAGTTCACAGCCTTCAAAGCAGGGAAGCTTCTCGGCAGTCTCGAGCAAGAACTCACACACTTGTAGCGTATGTGTCATTTTTTCAAGTCTGAACTCAGGCACTGGCACTTCTTCAGAGGGCACTTCCTCAGGGTGTACTTTCCTAGTCGAAGGCTTTTTGAATGGGGTCAGGCGTACACTCTCGAGAATGGCGCTGTGGCCGCCCTCAAGCAAGCCAGTCGCGGAACGGCCGGCAAAGTAGGCATGTTGGACGGTCTTTGCTTCCATGGCGCTTGGTAGTTTGCCAAAGAGAGTCTTATTTTTTATAGAGAGGACATCTCTCCTTTATAAGCCTTGATTCGCTGGTTGCTCAACGAGCTAACAGCGGCGACTCAGAGCCGTCAATTATGTGTCGGATGCGGCATGTAAAACACAGCTAGACACTTACCCAGTCGCCAAATCTACGCTTGACGTCCAGGCTCACCCATTTGAGTTTATTTATATGTAATAAAACAAATTACACAGTGATTTCAATTTGATCGCGGCGAACTAGGCTCTGCTGTGATCGGTCGTTAATCCAACTTCCGGATCGCCTCCTATTCGACATGGCTAAGGCGTCCTTACTGTCTGACCTCGCCTTGATAAATCGCATTTCTGCATATACCGCTGACTGAACATTCTCAAACAGTGAGAAGGCGCATTGCAGGCTAAAGTGGCATCTGAGCGGTCCTTTCGCAAACGAGTAAATTCCCATGCCAAGGGTCGCCGCTGTGATCAAAGTACGTAGAAAAAGGCGAATGAAATCAGAGCAAGGGGGTGCAGGGTGTGATGCATTACACTTCCGGGTGATTATTTGATAGAGCAGAATAGCCGCAAATGACCCGTGTATGATTGCTGGAAAGGCCCATACCGCGCCGGAACGCCACTGCCAGATGCCAAAGACAAGCCACAGCACTTGGAGAGATAGGACGCAAGCACCAGCGAGCTTTCTCTTGGGAACTTGATCTGAAACCGCGAAGAGTTTGATTATCTGCAATCGTAAGCTGGAAGAAAATATGAGTAGGAATGAGACATACTTCAGAAAGAGCGAAGCATATGGCCACAGTGACTTTCCATAGTATCCCAGGAGCAGTGTCTGGTAAGTCACTGCTGTGTGCAATGCCGATCCATGATGGGCACACAATATTACCAACAAGGAAGGTAATGGCGGGTATGATAGACGAAATGAATGCCCTCTGGTGATACCACTGTGCAGCACTGACAGGCCCAGCTTTGAAGTGACGCCAGCTTTGGACAAGAGTGGTAGTATAGAAGAGGGTGCCAAAAGCACCAAAAACTGCATTCTCGACGACATCTCCTCTCGTTGCGAAGGAATGCATGCCAAAGGGCGGTGAATCTTGATTGGAAAGCTACGTTCGATCCATGGCTTTTGTATCATGAAGCGGGCATTTGCTATAACGGGGTTACGAAGTTGCTCTCTAAACTCTTTAACCACCAAAACCATATCGACGCATATTGTCATTATACACTGTATAGAGAACTGATATCTGACACGCTCGTTGCAGAAGGCATGAACTCCGAAAAGGAGGCTGACCCCCGCCCCACCCCGGGCAATAGTAAACACCGCAAGGAGCACTTGCATCACCGAAGTTGGCACGGTATGCCGGCGAAATTTCCCTGCGTGACGCATACAGAATGTACAGCACTGTAGTGCCGCAGGGGAGATGGGGCTTTAGAATGTCGCGGGCATGAAGTCAATTCGGATGATTGAGCCTTCCAGCAGTTATACCTCCAATCAAGGCATTCGTGTCTTTGCTTCTGCTCGGAGTGACATGTTAACTGATGCTGAGACACCGAGAAAGCAGAGGCTTAGCCCAGTAAGCAGCCTTCAGCTGATATTCTGTTCATAGTTGCGACCGCGCCACCAATCTAGGCACTTGTGTCCTCGCTCCCTCTCATCCTCGTCATTGAGAGCGAGATGTTGGATGGTGTGTGACTAAGACAGCGAGCTGCGCAGCAACAAGTTTCACTAAGCCTAAATGAGTAGGCCTGGGAACACTCACAGACCTACTCATTTAGGCCTAGCCGACCAGATTGCACGTGCGGTTTGGGGAGTGGTCTCATTGCATCCTCCTATCGCCCACTTTCGCCTTTTCATAATTGTCCAACTCTCACAACATGGCGCTTCAATTACATGAACACCCTATTCAAAGTCCTCAACTCTTCATTGACATTGAAGCGTACTGGCCCCGTCTAACCGAAGATGCCAAGGCAAAGCTTTTTCGTCAGTTACATGGACTCGAGCCACAGCTGTTTGAATCAATCGCCCTGGAGGCGCCGGCTGAGACCCCGTGCCAACAGCCCATTACCAATGGTAGCCTAGCAACTACTAGCCACTCTTCAACACGTCAATCGGAGTCTCGGAGGGCAAGAGTCGCATTACCAGCTGAGAGGAGGCCAAACAGGACAACAGCACCACATCGCGCGGGATATCCTCGTGACGCTGGACTACGTGCCAGCAGCGCAGCACAACCCATTAGTGAGCGCACCAGCACAGCACCACCCACAGGCCAACGTACCAGCCCAGCACCCATCAACCCATCGTATGGCACTCCCCGGTGCTTCGAGGGTATTCCAGAGGATGTGCTGGCTGAGCTGGGAGCGTCGTCTCCAGAAGAGTATCTTATGAAGGATGAGAACGTGTTTCTTTTAGATGTTTTTGAAGCTGTGCAAAAGAACGCAGGAGATACATGGAAGGTTGCGATCCGACGAAGATTTCAGAGCATGGCCATCCACAATCTGGTCAGCTACTTAAGCCTCACAACATACAATCGCAAGAATACCAAATCTTACCAGATATGATCACGATTGCTATGATGAGTCAAACGGAAGCATCCCACAATGAGGACCTCCTCCATCAAATGAAGAATTATCAGCATTGCGGCGAGAGGTATCTTCTACTATCGCAAGAGCTATCATTGGGCCAAATGCTATTGCTAAGCCCGACACAAGCGAGCTTGTAAGCAGAACGCTTTCTGAGAGACACCTTTACTAAGTTGTACAGCTATGAACGGCGACTTCCTCTCAGAAAGGCAAATCGAAATCTACACATCGAAAAGCTACGTGTGCAGGCCGCCAATATCAATCCAAATGTGTTAGCGAAAGCAGAGCAAATCGCCTGGCATCTGTGCATGTGGGCCAACGCAGCGTGGTCGCAGCGGATGACTAACTGGCCACCTCAAATTTCAAATAAACGCAGACGAGGAGACCATGGTTATGGGTATCAGTTATCACAACCCATATGTACTCCTCTACCAGGCCAGCAGATATCTGCAGCGTATTACATGCCGTCAGCTGATCAGCTTTCATCACGCCTTGGAGAGCAGCCTCGCCAGCTTATACACCCGGACGAGGTTTACGTGGTAGCAGCTGATCAGCTTTCAGCACGCCTTGGAGAGCAGCCTCGCCAGCTAATACACCCGGACGAGGGTTACGTAGCAGCAGCCGATCAGCTTTCAGCACGCCTTGGAGAACAGCCTCGCCAGACGATAATCCCGGAAGGTTTTCCCATGGCGTCAATGGGAATTAACTCATCACTCATTAGAGAGCAGAACAGTCAGTCAATGAATCTGGAAGACTATTCCATTTCCTCTGGTGTGGACAACAACACTCTCTTGATTTCTCAAACAGTCCCTTCACATACGGCTATGGCACAACTCGGCTCAACTCCTGCGCCGTCGAACTGGGAAGACTGAAAGCCTGATAATTCCCCGCACGATAGCACTGTCCTTAAATATTTGATACATTTTAATCACTTCTTGTAAAAAATAGCCACATGTCTATAATAGTATCCTTGGGGGCCGTCAGCGTGCAGCCCTTTGGAAGAAAGCAGGCAAATTTAGGTTCCCAATTAAAGACTGTGTTGTCATCGGCAGCTGGGTCTCGTACTTCGACCACTATATTGCTCTCGCCGTCCGTTAACTGGATCGCAACTGTTGTGTGGCCCTCGTTCACTGAAAGCGGCTGGTTTTTGTCGAGGAAAGTAGTGAATTTGATTACTTCTTTGAAGTTTGGACTGAGTTTTTGGAGCTTCTCAAGCTTTCCTGTTTGTTAGCAGATGTTGCTGAGTGTTTATTGGCGTACTGACAACATCCTTGAACAGCGACCGATAAAGGTCCTCGCTGGCTTGTGAAAAGACATACTTTCGATTCCCACTGCTGTCGACGGTGAGACATCGCCTTGAGCTTTTTGCCAGGTCGAGCTGTGTATCCGTCAAAACAATCGTGTCATAAGTCGCCATATCATAGCCAATGCCCGGGGTTCAAATTGTGATGGTGGCTGTCACAGGTGTGCAGGCCTGGTGTCTGACCCCGCCGGAATAATGAAATGCCGCGGCGCCGGAAACGCCCACATGCCTGTTACGTCGAACCAGTCAGTCATCACAACATGTTACGACGACAAAGGGAAATTGAGCGTCGACTGGGACGAACGGTGTTTATATTTCCCTGAGTAACCGCACATGTATGCGACATGGTAGCAGGGCAGACGACGTTGAACTTGAACCCTCAAGCAAGTAAAAGGCAGAAAGTCAACTCGGAAGGGTTGATGGGGGCCTTTAGGGGCTGCCTAAGGACCCTGGATTGAAACGTACGGCTGCTCTGCTGCAAGTCTGCTCAAAGTTGGTACGGGCGCCGTAACGGGTTGGGGAAGGCTCTGTGAGGATGGCGGTGGCATTGTCACATCTTGTTTGCCTTGGTCTCAGTTCCGGGCCGCGCTATGCGGACCTGTTTCGGTTGGCAGTCCGCCACAATTGCTATAATCATTATTTATTTATTATTATTATTATTTTTTGCCTTGATCACAGTTGTTGAAGTCTACATTCTGCAGGCATGAGGCTTAAGGGGAGATGTATTCCCAGTGCTCGCAGTTGTGAAGTGCAGCCTACCTGGGGGACTCAAGTGCAATGCTGGACAATGGAGAAACAACAGCAATGGACAGTTCCCCTTAGAATTTAAATGCCTGCGTCGGTGAAATTTAGGCGTCCAGGGCTTGGCCGGCGTGCGCTCCGGCTTCCTATGCTCCTACTCCGCGCACTACTCTCGCATGTTACCTTTGGCGGCAGTGGATGCTTGACTGAGGCTCCGCTGTCTGTCAAAGCTGTCAAAGAAACCGAGGCTGCCCAGCTGATACAACGTCGGCAGTCTTGTCAACAAAACCATACTCCGCCACACGAAGGCCCGATACAGGTGGTGCAGTCTAGGGAGCCTTCCATAGTTTGGCCAGCAGTAATAGAGTGTGTAAATACTTACACACTTACTGTAGTATTACTGCGCCCGTTTCGCAGCCTTAGATGCACAACTAAATCGTTAGTCGTAGTGGAGCTCCACCCCCAAAATCGACTGCGGCAAACTCAGCTGCCGTCACAAGAATCCATCCACTTGTCTTTTTTTACAACCGCTCCCAAAAGGAATGCGATAATTTTCTCGTTCTATAGATAGAAGGATTGAACTAACAAATGCATAGATGAAGGCCCTCTACCGTTGACAACCTTGCCAGATCGGCGCTGCAGGTGGATACCCACAGATTGCCATCCTTGCGCTCAGGCAGCTCCTGACAGAATCTTCGCTTCACCTGGTCATTCTAATTAAGTCTCAAGTTGGTTGACGTCAAAATGATTGGCCTTCTCGGAGGTGTTGAAAGGTCTAGTGTTCATCCGCCAAGCCAGGAGTTATATCCCTTCCTTGGGCATTACTGATAAATATTTCCGCGTAAGTTGATCTTTGCACGAGAAAACAAGGTGTCTAACTTGAATAGAAATGTCGGGTTCGTCGAAAGAAATTGACCGTGTCAGCGGGAATTAAGTGATTGTAGGTAGATTCGGAACTCACTTTGAAGATAAAATACCCTGCAACCGCCACTGCTTACGCCATAATGTAAGATGCAGAGCATTGTGGTCGTTTCAGCTTCATATTACAGTTATGCACAAACCGATAATCTGTACACACAGTTGGCGGTCATCTTTGGGCTCTGGGCCATAAGCCTATGGCGGTCCCCACCTTAGCACGGTACTTCAACGTCAAGACGAAACAGCTGCCGAGCGTTGGGAACCCAATTTCGATGCGAAGCCGCTGCTATTATCCGCAGCTGCTGCGTTTGATGAAGGGGTCCCAACGAACAGCCACGAACAGTAACTAACCCAAGCCTCCACCGAAATAATATGATCGCTCAGTTCTGCCAGCCCTATGTCCCTGTCCCTGCAATGCGCCGGGCTAGCCTGCCAGTATCCGATGGGGCTCTGCTAGATAGGGGTCACAACATGTCATTGAAGTTTGCTTCCGTGACCCTTAACCCCTGCCACGAATGCACTGAGTTATAAATTCGTCAGTCCCCTAAACCTCAGCTTACTCGACTTATTCCTCTCGCTATCCGCCGTCGCAATACTGATTCACGAGCGGGACCCGCCTCAGTACACGTGACCTCTTCTGTTTACATTCTATTCGCCGAAATCCTACGCGACCGCGAACACCACCACGCGCGTCGAAATGACACTGTCCGAGGAGCAGCTCGATATCATCGCGAAGCATGCGCTTGATGACTCAATTTCCCGTTTTACAGCAAAGCTGGGTCATTTGAAAGAATGCAACGAAACCTGGCGCACTGACATCGCCCTCCTCTTGGGTCTTTTAGTCGCTACTCCTGCTGCATATAACCTTCCCTCTCGCGACAGGAGTAGTAATGTGGCAGTGAAGCTTTTCCCCATACAGCAAAATGTTAGAGGAGATTCACTCAGGTTCGATCTTTTCCGCCCGCTTATCAACGCCGTCGCCACGGACTCCCCCGACACCGACGTTTGGGCCGCGGTTATCGACCTCATTGACACTGTCAACCCATCAACACCTCCGCCATCGAGCATCATTCCGACAGGCCATGGGACGCCAGTCAAAACAAGCTCCAGCAGGCTCGAGGACAGTGAAACGCGCGACATCGTCGAGCGTGAGCTATTCTACGAAATAAAAGACTGCACCCACAGGGGAGTGCCCGGGTTTTTCGAGAAGCACTTCGATACAGCAAACTGGACCAAAGCTCAGGCAAAAATGCTAAAGTCGATCCTGGCAAATCACGACGGAACAAAATGGAACGACTTCCCGGCCGACCCGTGGGAAGCAGCGGTATGGAAATGGTTGCAAGGGCTCGAGGAGAAAGCCTTGGCAGGGGCGCAATATACTCTGCATACCAATAAAAGTGCGACCGAGTTTAAAGAGCGCAGGGGCCAGATGGACATCTTCTTCCAGAAGCCGAAACGAACGAAGGGTCGATTCGAATATAAACACGTCCTAGTTGCTGGGGAGCACAAGCGGTCGTTCGCCACCGCTGACTTCAAAGCATGCATGTTACAGCTCACACGACATGTTCGAAGCATCTTTGCCGACCAGCCGATGCGCCGGTTTGTGCACGCGTTCACCATCAAGGCTGCGACAATGGAGCTGTGGATTTACGATCGCTCTGGCGCCTATAGCTCGGGCGAGTTCAACATTCATCACGAACCGGAGAAGGTAGCGCGTGCTCTTGTTGCATATGCCACTATGGACAATGATGCGATGGGGTTGGATATGTCAGTCGAGTGGAAAAATAGCCATCGTTACATTACAGTGGAAGATGGCAACGGTGATGACAAACGTGTGGAATTGAACCGGCTGCTTGTCAGGCAACGGGCCGTGGTGTGCAGGGGAACAACCTGCTTCTCAACGAGGCAGGGCGTGGCTAAGTTTTCTTGGCGTTCAGATAAGCGGCAACCGTGCGAAATTAAGCATCTGAAGCTCGCACAGGAGAAGGACGTGGAGGGCGTTGCTACATTGGTAGGGCATCGCGAGATTACCAGTATTGCTGCGCTGCGAGCGGGCCTGGACTTCTCCAGCAGCACACGGCATGCCTTTCGAGCGACAGCCCGCGACCGATCAACCGGGCATAATAGCCTGCAAGGCTCAGAAAGCAGCGGCTCCAGCCGAAAACGCAAATCCTCGGACAATGATCCTCGTCCCACGACGCGGCGATCCGACAGTCGAAAGTCTACACTCAGGCAAACCTACGATCATTCTAGCGAAGCAAACGACGAAGCGAGCGACGAAGCGAAGCCGAGCGTATACACGCCAAACCGAGAGGGCCCGTATGAGAATCGCATTTTGTCTTGCATTGTCATTTCCCCTGCCGGACGAGTCATAAGCGACTTCAGCACCATTCGAGAGCTCCTCGAGGCACTCCGTGACGCCATCCGAGCGCATCGATCCTTGTACTTGAAGGGCAGGATACTACATCGCGACATTTCGTCGAACAACATTATCATAACAAGTTCCGAGAAGACTGATGGCTTCAAGGGAATGCTCATCGACCTTGATCTTGCCAAGGAACGCGACAGCGGGCCAAGCGGCGCACGCCATCAGACAGGTACGGTGCAATTCATGGCGATTGAGGTTCTTCGCGGCGTAGACCACACCTATCGCCATGACCTAGAATCGTTTTTCTACGTTCTCATATGGATGTGCGCACGCTGCGCCTGGGACGAAGTGAAACGTTTCCGCAAAGAGGGCGAGACGGCGCCTGAAGAAAGCATTCTACGGAAATGGGAAATAGGTAGCTTCAAGGATATTGCCGACGCAAAGGAAGGGCATATGACGGTAAACAGCCTTGAGCGTATCATGAACGAGTTCCCGGAGTCATTTGAAATGGTCAAACCGTTATGTTTGCGAATTAGGAAACTTCTCTTCCCACTTGATAAGGAAGAGAGAATGATGATCGGAACACCTACTGGAGGTCCGGAACGGCTCTATGACGGTATTATTGCCGCCTTTGGCGAGGCTATTGATCGATGCTAATCGGCTGGATATTTGGTGTTCGGAGACATGGACATTCTTTCTTGCGTAACTTTCAGGGAATGTGATATAATTATATAGGGACAGGTATTTAGC